ATAGATATTTTTGTATTTTCTGTTTTATTATATGTACCTAGTATTTTATAAATTTAATAAAGATCATGCAAAACTGTAGCACTTCAAAAAAAAAAAATCCGCTAGGATATCCTTCGAGATTTGGGCTTTAAAATAAGTACAAAATCATGTTTTTAGCATCTGTGGTTGATGAGTTATAGCCGTTCAAAGGTGACCAATCACACTTGCATTTCTTTTAGTAGCCACTGTTATAAAAATATAGAATATATACTTAAAGATCTATTAGATAGTATAATTTTATTAATCCTTAATATTTATACTTTATTTTTTTATACTGATAATTTTAACTCTTATATTGAATTATATTTTTAGATTTAAACTATTTTCTTAAATTTAATTGCAAAAACTATACTAAAATACCTTTAATATTTTTATCAGATACTTTTTACTGGTAATTGAAAGGTTATTCAATCTTAAAATTAATAAAAATAGAATTACTAAAATTTTCTGATTCTTTGTTGAAATTTTTTACAGTCTTTTGTGATGTAAAAATAGAAAAATATTTTATAGTAAATTAAATAATAAAGAATCATGATACATTAATTATTTGTGATTGAATAATAATAGATTCAAAAAAATTATTTACACCTCATCTTTAACAATATACTAGTGTTTTTTATAAAATATTACAATTTAACATAAAAAATGACATGCTTTTTTTAGATTATTTTTCAGATATTTATATTTATACTAATTATAAAAAGATGTAATTTTTAATTCTATTAATAGGTTATTATAAAAAGCTTATCAAAAAGAGAAAAACTAATGCTAAAATCAGTTTTTTTATCTTAGTAATGAAAATGAAAGATGTACAACTTTGTTATTTATCTTTATGATATAATTCTTTTAATAAGTCTAATTTGTTTAATTACGATTCTTCTAATTATCTTATTACTAATATTATATTTAATGAAAAACAGGTTAAATACTATTATGTAAGCATGCATATTATAATATATATTTTAGTCTAATAGATATAAATGCTTATATTACTTAGATTATATAAAGTTTAATGTTAATAAACATATGTAATTACTTTTAGATTATTTACACTAATCTAATTTAATTAATAAAATTAAGAATGAAGAATCTGACTTTATTTCTAAATAAGATCATAATAATAAAGAATTAGTTGATAGTATTTTAGCTTCTTAGAATACTACAATATTATAATTTATTCAATAATAATTAACTAATAATTAAAATAATTATGTAAATAATAGGTTATTTAAATATATTTATTAAATATGATATAAATATAATTTTAATAAATTTTTAAAATAATATAAATGATATATAATAATAAAATTATAATTTTATTTTATTTAAATTCTTTTAAATTTATACTTAATTTTAATTGGTTTAATTAATATTTAAATTTAATTGGTCAATTATTTTTTATTTTAATCATTAAATTAGCCAATCATATAAACTTCTTCTTATATCTATTAATTGATCATATACACTTGCAAAACTTAGTCTTTTCTAGTATATATATATCTCAATTTCCAAAAAGCATAATAGACATTTAACTTATTTGCGATTTTATTAGTTGAATTTTGTAATAATCATTTTTAAAATATCACATCATTATTAATTTTGATTAGTACAAAATTAATTGTTATAAAAATTACTAAAATAGAAAGATTAGTTTTAGACTATTAAAAAATATTTTTTAGCTATAAATTTTTTATATAAAAAGTTTTGAATTAATGTTAAATATATCTATATTTTTATAATAATTATAAAAATCAGAAAAAAATAGAAAATTAAAAAAACTTGCAACATTAAATTAAAAAGTAAAATTATAAATACACTAGATAAAACTACTATTTAATAATATTTGTGATTAAGGTAAATGTTTAGATTAAGAAAAAGGTATAATATTTGTATATGATTATACTTTTCATCATAAATGTTTTTTAAAATAAAATAATAATTGTAAAAAAATTCTATAAAAAGGTATTATCTTTAATATAAAATCCTATATAAAAAGATTATAAAAAGATAAATAGTTTATTAGATAATGAAATATTAGATAATAAAGAAGCGGTAATAATAGAAAAAATATTGATAAACTTTTAAAAATATTTTAAACTTAGTAAATTATAAGTTATTAAATAAAATATATTGTAATATGTATAATTTTAACCTTAAAATTTCAGTTCTCATCTAACTTTCTTAAGAGTAGAGATCTTCAGATCTTTTTTTACCTAAATGTAAAGAAAGGAATGAACAATATATCGATGCAAAAAAACTACGTATTGATAGATTAGTTTTTGAAATATTATTGATCTTCTTTTTATTACTTTAAATCAATTGAAATTAAATATTATAAAATATAAAAAAGATTAATATTTGATTTTATCACCATATAATATAATAAATATTTATTATGTTCAAAAACTTTCAAAGAACTACTTCACAATCTTCTTTAGGTTGAACATCGCATACTAGTACAGTTACTCATACAGTCAGTTTTATATCTTTAATTTTATTAAATATAAGTGCTTTGAGTGTAATAGACAAGGCTAATGTGTTATATTAACTTTTCATTTTATGTGTATTAAATAGATTAAATATAACTACCAACAAGCATATTAAACTTTGTTAAAGAAAAACAACTGGATAGTTCCTTTTGGTATATATAAAGAAACTTGCTATATATGTTCTTATGTCTGAATATTAAAACATCATATTTAAGTTTCTACATTAAATGTTAATGTATTGATCATGATGCAAAAGATTGTAGAAGCATTTCTTGTAAAATTCCATTTAAGCAAAAATATGTTATATCAGAACAACTTTTAAAATCATTTGGAAGAGTCAAAGATTGATACATATAATTTTCTTTATAATTCACATTCCTTTCTGATAATAAGAGTAAAATAAATACTGGAATTGCTAGGCCAGAAAAGTATTTTTTTTACTTTTATTATCCTCTTAAAATAGTTTAATTATATAATCTCTTTTTCTTTCTTATAGCAAAAGCAAAAAAAGATTCAGGTTGCTGGGCTAGCAAAATTTTTTTTGCTTTTTTATAAATTATCTGACAAAAATTCATTTGGGTTGCTGGGCTAGCAAGGGTGAATTTTTTTAAGATAATTTGATTTTCTTAATTAAAAAACATATTAGATAATTTGCTTGCTTATTGGTTTGAACATATGGGCAGATTTGTCTATTCAGAATTAAATAAAATTTTTAAAATAAATCGAACTCAAAATAAATTGATTAGCTGGGATAAAAAATTATATCACAATAAAATGAAAATAAAATGATAAATGGTTTGAAAAATTTTACTGTGTCTGTAATTGTATCAATCTCACGTTGTAAAAACTAAGGATGTTAAAGGGCCCTTAAAAAAATTTTGAAGTTTTAAAATTACTAATTCTAGAAGGGCTCATCAGGAGAACTTTTTTACATAAAATTTATGATATTTTTACGCAGTTTTGATTATTTTAGTTTCGCGTAAAACCCATTTCTTACATTTCACCTTGCCAGTCTGATAAGTAGGTTTTTTTTTTAAATATATATCAATAAAAAAGAAAAAATTACAGCTGTTTTCAAAATATACGGGACACAGAGACCCGGGTCTCTGATATTAATTCACATGCTTCTGCCGATCCGTATCCGTGTAATTAGAATCCTCTTTTTTTTTTTTAAAAAAAAAAAAAAAAAAAAAAAAAAAAAATAGGTAAAAATTAATAAACTTACCGTATTAAAATTTGCCTGCAATTTTCAATTTTCTATCATTAAGGGTAATACAATAGCTGCGCCAGATAAAATTTATTTATATAAAACAATGAATTTTAATTTCTGCTAATATTAATGATTATATATATTGTTTTTTTAATTTTGTTTTAATTATTTATATTTGCTAGGGCTCACTATTTTCCAATTTTTTTTTCAAATAAAAAAGGACTAAAGTTTTTCGGTTACATAAGTTAATTAATACAATCAAAGTTAGGTTGATATTGTTATGCAAAAAATATTTGGGGTGTTCATGTAACACAGAAGTTGGGAAATTTAAATTTTAACACAAAACAGAAAAAGGAGACATAAATCACTCACGAAACAAAAGCACGGATATGTAACACAACCGTTCTCCACTTACAGTTTACAAACAAACTAACTTTGCTGTGGATATCCACTTTTTTTGGAGGATGGATCCAGTCGAAAGTTCAATAATTAAAACTGGTGTTAGTAGTAGCAATAGTGATAATAAGAGGAGTTCTACCCAAAATTCAACTATTAACGAACAGGAGCAACCTTCAGCACGAAGAACGGGAGCCTTTACAAGGAAACGAAGAAGTACTCAAAGTAATGGAGATGGTTCTAGTTCTTCCACAAAACAGACGTTCACTACTGCTATAAATCAGATCTTGCATAGGCGCGCATCGATTTCTTCACAGAGACCAAAAGATTTAATTGCAGAAATAAATACCAGTAAAATAGATAATAATAAAACACGAAATACTTCTCCCCCAAGTCCAATTTCCGTTAATGCGTCGATTCAACAACAAAATCAACCTTTACCTTCTCATTCAACACAGCACCAACCAACTTTTCAGCGATTATTACGAAAGAAAAGTTTTCGTGCTTCCGGACAATTTTCTCCAGTTTCCCCCTCTCAAGCCTCCTTTCCATTATCGCCAACAGTTGAGGAAGGTCCTTCGTATATTGACATTAAAACAAATAATAGTAATCTTGGCGATTTAACTACTAATTCTAATTCTAATTTTAATTCTAATTCTAATAATAATAACGATTATAACAATAATATTAATAGTAATAATAATAATAATAGCAATAATAGTAATAATAGTAATAGTAATTTAATTAATAAACGGATCGTATTGAATCATGGAACAACAACCACAAACTCATCTCCAATTTCACCGGTAAACTCAACTGCTTCATCACCTTCTACAAAAAAGCAATTCTTTGAAAATTGTAGTAGAGAACAAAAGTTATTATTTCACCAAACAAAGGACGATAAAATGGAAAAACTATTAAAAAAGGCAAAAATTTTTTTGGATATAAAGCAAAGACCTAAAGCCAGAATTGCATCATTATGGAGTGTTATAGGTAATTAGGTTGAGAGAGAATGGGATATATATCCTAGAACCTTACTCAAATAATATATGAAATTTGTTTATTTGTTTATTGAAATTTTTATTTACTGAAATATTGTTCTTGCTTATTATAAACAAATTTCCCAATATCTATTATTTTGTTAAGATGTTGCGAATGAATTGGATCAGGCACAATTTTTTCAACAAAATTCTGGAGACGTTTTCGATGTAGTTTATAGTTCATTTATGAGTCAAGTGGATAAAATAAAACGTGAGAATTTTATTTTATTTTAAAAACGAATATATAAAATATAAAAAAAAAATAATGTATTAAAATTGAATTATAAATAGAGAAACCGGATAGATCCACGCCTTTTACATCAAAAGAATTTTTAAATTTAAATAAGATTTTACTTTTATTACGTAAAATATTTTTATTTTTGCCTGATAAAATAAGGGTTGGATGGCAAAGAAAACAAATAGGTATAAATTATTATTATTATTATTATAATTATTATGAAAAAAAATTTTTTGTTGAAGTTCCTATTTTAGCATTCATGTCTGACTTTTTTTTTAAAATAAATAAGCCGAAATATTGTCAGTTTTACTTGATCATGGAAATCATCCTCGAGTTCGAAAACAAGGATTTCAGCTTTTGTTATTATGGATAAATGATCAAACAATAGAATTAGATGAATGCATGTACTTATATTCAAATGCCATTTCATTGGATTTATTTTTATGTGATCAAATGAAGAATATAGGCGAAGAATCGTGTAACTCAAAGGACAATGTATGGAGGAAAAGTCATATTCCTATTGCTCTAGGACAAGAATTAATACGAGGTAAATATGATGAAGTTCGAGATATATTTTTAGGAAAAATATTTTTATTGATGTAATATCCAATCCATTTTTACCAGGTGATCATCGGGGTCCTTTATTTCCAAATCCACATTCATCGACATTTAATGATGCGGTAAATTTAATTCAAGTAAATGTAGGTAATCTAGTTAGATTAGCTCATGTTGCAGCTGGATCAATACCACCATCAGAGAATTATGAATTTCCTGCAATAGAAAGTATTGAACCTGATAATGGGATTGCTATAGGAATGGGAATTGATGCGGCATTAGCTGCTGCAAAGTTTCATTTTGAATTAGTAAAGAAACAATATCTTGTGAAAATTTTCCCTCAATGTGCTAAATGTCTTGGATTATTACCCGAAAATCAAGGTGAAATTAATAAGCTTTGATTTTTTACTTTTTTTATTTTCTTTTTTTCATTTTTTCAGCTTTACTAATGTTTTTTATATATTTCAATTAAAAGAAGATGGGTTTCAAAAATGTCCACCAGCAATACTTAGAGCTTTAATTACATTTTTTATTCATCATTGTCTTGATAATCATAGAATGTCCGACAATATTTCTTCATATCCTTCACCAGCTACACCTATATTAAAATCTATAGTATTAGGTCCCGAGAATCGTGAATTTGCACATGAAATTGTGAGACAATCTTTGATGTTACCAGCTGGTAGCCCTCTTTATAAAGATATTGTTAGAGGTGCTGTTCATATAGTGGGTGTTTGGATTCTAAGTGGGGTTAGTTTATTTTATCCCGATTTGAGTCAAAATATTCCCAGCCTTCCTTTTTGTTTATCAAACATTTTTTAATCTACAGGAAGAAGAAAGGCCAGCGTACTTACGTAAGTCCCTTCAAAATCTACCCTCACCAATTAGTCAAAATGATGCATCAACAACACCAGCTTCAACACCATTATCAGCTTCATCATTTACAAGTTCATATTCAGATGCAAATGTATATCTTAGAAGGTATATCGAATTATTAAATTTGGTATTTGAGGATCATTCGTTCTTAACGATTGATGGAGGAATGACAAATATTGAAGTGGAAGCACAAGTTTCTATTTATCGAGATGTTTTGTCTTTGTATCGTTCGATTATGACCGAAGGCTCGATTGAATTAGAATTAGAAACCTGGTATTTATACAATCGTGTAAATTTTATTTACCATTTTGTTCAAAATTTTTAAAGTTCTATTTATTTACCTGTTTTTAGGGGAACAATACTTAGATCACTTTTGGACATTCAGAAAAGGATTATGAATCAAACTGATAAGTATGCTCTGATTCCTTCTGTAGCTTTGGCCGATGATTTAGCTGATTACTTGATCGAAGTAAGTGAAGAATTTCAATTATTACTATGATACAGCACGAGTTTTTTGTTACTTATTTCTCTAGTTTATAGTAAGTTAATTATCATACGCAATGTGATAATCCATTCTCTTACGCAACGTGCAATTATAAATCCATATCCGTGATTATCCTAATTATCTCATTTTATGTGGAATATTTAATTTTATCTTCTATCTTTTGTCATTATTTAGACAATATTATACGCGTTTTCTCGGTCAAAAATTCCAGTTCCAGAATTATGGGGTGAACTGAAAGTTCAAATGAGTTTTAGTACGAGGTGGTCTCAAACTATGACACAATGGGCTGTAAGTTATAATTTAGAAATTAGATCTTTTTCCTTTTTGAATGTTTATTAATTTTATTTTTATAAATTTTTCAGAAAATAATGTTGCGTTTGTCAAAGATTTTATCAAAACATGTACATCAAGTTGATCTTGATCAAGTAGAATTACAGAAACGTCTCTCAGTAATGCCATCATCAGAACGTCATCATCATCGCCGCAAACCTTCCAAAAATCGTACAAAACATCTTTCTTTAAAACATAAATCTTCAGGTAGCACTTCTTCACGTGAAGATTTTGATTTCTCACCATCAGGATTACCTAAAAATGAAAGCGGTAAATTTGGAAGACGAACTTTGAGTATGCATTCAGATACGAATCCATTAGATACTAAATTGTTAGGTGTTAGTGGACCAAATTTGTTGAATATTGTAAGTAATGGATCCATACACTCTGGTAGTATTGCATCAGATGAAGATAATGATGATGATGACGACGACGACGATGATTTTTTTGATGCCTGTAGTGACCTTGGTAATGAATATGTCAAGGTAATATTAATATATACGTATATTCTTCTTTAAAACAAAAAAAAGTTCATTATTCATATTCATAAAATCATATAGTCAAATCGAACATCCGTTTCATCAATATTTTTCATTCAGCCGAATTTTAGTAATGAAAAACTATCGATGTCCTTGGCTAATTTCAGGAGTCCAGATTTCATTAACCTCGATATTTTACCTTGGACTTCTGAAACTTCGTTGTTAGTATGGAGAAATATGCTTTGTGCTTTGGGCAATTTAAACCACATTCAGATTATTCCTCATCACGCTGAAGCTATTAAATGTCTAGTGGATATGTTAGATATGTTTGGAATGGTAATTTTTTAAAAATAAAATTTTGTTTTTTCGGTGCTTTTAAACTTTTAAATCAATTTTTGTTTATAATTTATATGTTATAATAGGTTTGCTATAATCAATTCGGAAACGTTCCCTTCCCTTTAATTTATGAATTTGTTCCTTGGCTTCTTGAGGCTTGCGACTTGCCATTGTAAGTCAATTTATATATATTAGGCTAGTTTAAATAATTTTGGATAATAATTTATATATTTTAATATTATTAGAGCCTTCGCACCTGGACGGGTATTAGCTTATGGAGGATTATGTAAGATTATGTCATTTAGGCACCATAATGACTTCGATGATTCTTACTATCATCATTTTTATCGTGCTTTGTTGAAAGGGTTATCTGATTATGACAATTCTATAATTTATGCGATAATTAATAATTCAGCAAAGTTATTTTCTCAATGTCTTCCAGGAATTAATATTCTTTATCATTCTTTTATTGAATCGATAAGAAATTTATTATCAAAACATAATTCAAAGAGAGTTCCTGAAGGGACAAGACAAAACGCCATTATTATACTCTATTCACTTATATGTATAGTAAATCAAGTTCCATCTGCAAAAGTTCCTCTTGTTCAATATATGAAACTTGCTCAAATTAATGAATTTGATGAATCAAGTTTCAGCTTATTGAGTGATGTAAGGTTTTCCGAGGTTGGTTCATTTATATTTTATATATTATGTGACTCAATATAATAATTTATTGTTTGTTATATTTGAAATTTTAGGTAAGATTGGCATTAGGAGAAACATTAATAAATTCACTATCAACAGAAACTTCAATAAAACATAGCGAAACGCATAATATGTTATTATATGGCATTTGCACATTCGCATTTGATGAACTTACTACAACAAGGTTAGTATAATTTTTATTTATATTTTTATATTTTTTTTGCTTTAACAAATTAATTTTGAATTATCTACCAATATCTTATAGGCCAGATAAGACTATCATTAAAGAATGTTTCCAAGTGCTATTGGACCAGTTATATTGGAGTCATTTGCCTGTAGTATCAGCAGCTACAGATTGCTTAACTACATTTGCACAAAATTCTTCAATTTGGTTTGAGGATGAAGAAGTAAACTATTTGATTCTTACTATTTATTATATATAATTTTTTTGAAAAAAAAATTTTATCTAACGAAATAACTTGTAGATATACGGAATGATACTCCAAGATGTTTTTGCTAATTTAATTGGAGCTCTGAATGAACATATAACAATACAGAAAGCAACCGTGAGAAACGGGAGAGGTACCATAATTAAACTAAATCAATTAAATTTTTAATTATTTTTGAACGACATTAACTTTATTTTTTTTTTTTAAAAAAAAAAAATTTAGGATTCATAATAGCTAAGCTATTTTATTGCCTTATTGAGTGGTTGATGGTAATTCCTTCGACCATTTTCACAGGCACTGATCTAGGTCAAAATGTTTTTGATGTGATAGATTTGGCATTTGAAAATCGTGGGGTAAGAATCTATTTTGGTTTTTAGTTTAGCAGACCTTTGCTTTCTTAAATTTTACGTCAATCTCGCAACATATATTTTGATACGTCACGTCATCTATAAATTTATTTATATATCACTATTGATCTTCTGTCATCTTATCAGGTAGAATCATTAAATTATTACAAAAAAGTTTATCCTGCTCCGCTTAGGAATCAAGGAAAGGAAACTTTCTTTAGATTTAAAAAATCAACGCGTAAAGTTTCGTTAGGAATGAATCATGTTGTTGGTGTTGAAAATAATGTTGAAGATGAGAATTTTGTCAAGGTAATTTTTTAGCGTTTATTTTTGCTCTGTATATTGACACGTTATATCATTCAAAATTAATGCTTTCTTTAATTTACAGGAAGTTGCAGAATGTATATTATTACATTTGACACATCATTTTAACAATTTTGCTCCTATTTATGGTCCCGCAATGATAAATAGGTTTGTAAATATAGGAATGTTTCAGAAAATGAGTATTTTCTAATCTATACCCAAATATCTTGTTTCTTCATGTAGTACTTTAACCGGTCCATTAAGAACTGACACTAAAGAAGAAGATTGCGCCGAACATTATCAATATTTTTCTTTTAATGATAAGACAATAATCACAATAATAGAGATACCAGACAATGACAGCTCAAGTAAATGAAGTTTTTTTTCAAATTATTTATATAATTTGTTAGAAAATCTAACTTATAAAATTTCATTTCTGAAATTTGTTTAGTATCGCGTTTGATAATTCGGGATATTACTGGTCGTTATGCTTGGGATACTAAACTTTTCTATTTAGATAATCCTTATTCAAACCAAAATAGTATTCCAAAGCATTGTGAAATTACAAATTGTATGGAACTGAGACCTGATATTAAAATTGAACTATCATCGAGAAACAAGTCACCGTAAGTTTTCTTTCGCATTCATTATTTTTTCCCTATATTTATTTTATTCTAAATTCTTTTATTTTATTGATCATAGAGATTCAAATGCATCTCCCAGGAGTAGATTACGTAATCGGACAAGTAATTTCTTTAAGGATAAAAATAGATTACCTGTTTGGACTGAAAACAGTAATAATGGACATATTAATATGTTGGATTATTTGCTGCAATAGTAATTATTCTATAATACCTATTATTATTTTTTATTATTATTTTTATTATTGGATGAAATTAATGTGAATTTGTTTAATTTAACTTTTAGCGTAAGTGAACATACACCACTATCGAAAGGAACATCAGATTATGGCTTCCAAACTGGATTATCGCAGCTTGAGAAAGAATTGGATAGACATATTCAAGAAGAAATTCATTATCTCAATTCTACCGGAGGTCAAGCGTAAGATGTTGCATTTAAAACATTCAATATTTATAAATCATTAATCTGATAGTTTCGCTCAATTTTCTTTCCTTTTTTTTTTGCTTAGATCATCTTGGTACGAAAATAACATGTCATTACGAAATAGTATAAGTCAAGTTATAGATAATAAAAGTAATGGAACTAAAGTATCTAAACGACTTACAAGGAACCTACTTTATTCAAGATCTACATCACATTTATCTCTTGGAGCAGATTTTTCATTATCAAAATCATTCTTACCCGTTATACCACCAGAAGCAGAAAAACCTCAAGAACCTTATCAACAATGTCGATTATTTCAAAGTCATTTTGGATGGTTAAATTCTGATACATTTAAAGAAGGTTCAATATGTGTATTAAATAAAGGACCAGCCTTATATCGAGACATTCGATTACTTGACAAAAAGCATTCACGTGAAAGTATAAAGGTTGGGTTGTTATATGTTGGGACAGGACAAGAAGATGAGCAATCTATTTTACAAAATACGAGTGGAAGCAAAGAATATGAAGAATTTGTTACAAGTCTTGGATGGGAAATTGATTTAGCCAATCATTCCGGATATCTTGGTGGATTGGAAAAAAATTCTACGAATGGAACTACTTCGATTTATTATTGTACTTCAACTTTGGAAATAATATTTCACGATGTAACAAGAATGCCTACAGATCCTACAGATCCAAAGCAACTTCGAAAGGTATTTAAGATTTCATTGTTTGTTTATTACATTAATTTGTTTTCAAGAGACCTTGTTAACGAAATTATTATTATTCACATATTAGAAACGACATATAGGGAATGATCATGTACATATAATATGGAACGAACATTATCGAGATTATCGAAACTCCACAATAGGGGGAGATTTTGGTAACGCTCAAATAATCATATCACCGTTCTCCACAAATACCGGAAATCAAAGTACCAGTTTATATGCGGTAGACATTTATCGTGATAAAATTCCATCATTTGGACCTTTATTAAGTGGAATGGTTATTTCAAAAAATATGTTGGGACCATTGGTGAGAATGACAGCAATACACGCATTTCGATCAAGTATTAATAATAATAATAATAATAATTTACAACCGTTTGCTACACTTTATCAACATCCTTACATGCAACGATCTTTAGATATTAATATGATAATGGGTAAACATAAAGATTCCAAAAGTAATAATTCTTATGAAAATTTTATGAATAAAATTTTTTTTAAAGATGACTTTTCTATATAGATATCTTATTTTTATAATAATTTCTTAATTCATTTAGTAATCTTTTAATATATTAATTACCTTCACTAATAAACAATTAATCATTTATTCGTAATACCTCAAAGATGGTTTAATTTAAAAACAATTCATGCAAAGAATTTTTTTAAATTGTTTTAGGGTCGTTTCATTGTAAATATTTTCTTTCAATAATTACGTTTTTTTTTTATAATCCCTTAGTTTGTATTATTATAATTTCTTTTTTTAATTCTCGAGACTTATGATAGTCTATTTGTAATAATTTCTAATAAAATTATTCCCATAATTAAATTATTTATCAAGAATACTGTGATAAAATATTAATTTATTATACACATAAATATATTTGTGTTGATTAAATTTTAATTTATTAACGCGTACATTTATTTTTTTTATAATTCATCTTTTTTGCGTTTTGTTTCTAAAGTAATAGTAAAATCATATTCAAAACTTTTTCCTTTACCTTTAATAACCTCTTTCAAAAATTTTTTAATGTTTTCTTCGTCAAAAGGTCCAAGATAAGGCCTATATACCTTTCTATTTGGGTTTAAAATCATCAAAACCGGAAATACATCAGCTAATTTAAAATCTTTAAGCAATTTTTTGGAACCACTTTCTAATGAATTAAACCATAAAAATCTTAAATAAATCGAATTTCCTAACTCTTCATGGAGACTTTCTTTAACGTTTTTTAATATTTTAATATTTGATTCATGTTCTTTAATTGATTCTTCAAATTCCGTTTCTAAAGGTAAAAACGTAAAAATACATAATCCCGGTTTTGACAAACATTCATTATCAAGTATAGCTTGTGAATTGGCATCTAATATTTCAGGATTATCTAATAAAAGAAAAAAAGATATTTTTTATAAGTATTGTTATTTTAAATCATTGAACTTTTTGATGTATATAGTTTTCTTACATGGTTCAAGTTCTACTTTAGGTTCTTTCTTTTTCTCGGATTTTTTCTCATTGGGTGTGTTTTTGGGTAAAGCATATTTATTTAAATATTTGCTCAAGTTTTCATAATTGTATTTCTCTATAAAATTTACAAAATAATTATTTTTTTTTTTTTTTTTTGAAAAAAAGTTTTTAAATAAATTTTTTTTCTCAATCACCTGTAAATTCCGAGATTTCATTGGTTTTTTTATTAATTGCAAGTAATGTTGGAAATTTTTTTATTCCAAATTCCTCAATAATCGAAGATTCTTGTTGTCTAACTTCTCCCAAAAGTAATCGATTATGAAATTCCACCGATAACGCTTTATATAAATGAGTTGTTTTGTCTTTATTTGTAAATAATATAGCTTTTGACATCGTTTCATTCTAATATAAATTAACGTTAATATACATAATTTGAACTTCCTTAAATAATCAAAATGATACATACGTCTTTGGCCAAAAATTCTTCAATCGTAAGTGATTTCTTTGTTGGATTTTTATTGGAAATCGGTTTTACAAAAGATGGTATTTCAGAAAGTGCAAATTTCACCATTTCATTTGCTGTCCTTGGTCCATTATAATCTTCAAGAGAAAAAAAATTGTTTATTTTTTCAAGATAAAAAAAAAATTATTTTATTTAGTAATATATCATTATACCTTTAGGCTTTTTTAAGAATGAACCAGGGTTTTTTTTATCTGGAACAGCTTGACTTGGAAACAATTTTATTGTTGGAAAACCTATTAAGATTTTTTTAGTATTATCCATTATTACCTTGTCATCGTTTCATTAATAAAAGGACAATTTTACCTTTGACATCGTAAGCACCACAAATGTTTCGATTTGATTGATCATCACAATCTATGGCTGCTACTTTTACAAGACCTTTAAGATTTTCAGCAACCTTTTTGTACTCTGGTGCAAGACTGTTTAACGAATCAAAGTCGCGTTAATTCTTTTTTTTTTTTTAAAAAAAAAAAAAAAAAAGGTTAAAATATATTACTTTTTACAATGTCCACACCAAGGCGCGAAAAATTCCAATAAAACGACTTGCTAGATGATAATTAAATCAAATATTAATTCGAATAAGAAGAAAATGAAACATGAAAATGTATCATATTTTATTTACTTCTGTTAGTAAAACTACTTCACGAAAGTTTTTATCAGTTACCAATGTAACCGGGCCACTTTTATCGTATAGTGCCAGGATACATGGTAAACTCATGCATAACGCCAAGGATGCGATAAGTATTCTCAACGAATACAGCATTATTTTTGCTTTTCGAGAATCAGGAAAAAAGAAATTAGGACGTTAGATAAGAAATTTCTTCGTTTATAACTTTTTTTCATATGTATTCGTGGCATATTTTTATTGGAGGAACAAAGCGTATTTTGCAAATCTTACTTAATAAGGTGGTGATAATAAAAAAATTTATCGGGTTACAACTTCACAAACTCCAGAGTAGTTCGTTTTTGTTAAATTAAGAACAGGAAACATACATTAAAAAATTTTCATATTCCAGTTCTCATTCAATTTAATTTATTTTTCTAACCTTGCTAATTTCCGTAAAGATTTTCAAATTAAAATTTTTTTGATATCCAACTATGTAAAATCTGAATGCCAAATTTCATTACTTTGACATTTTCTAAAGAAATATTCTATCTGAATAGTTTGAGTACTACATATCACAAACACACGGGTATAAATATTTTGGCAGATGTTTGCATAAAACAATATTAAATTAAATGGTTCTTGGAAATTAGTACTTACTCGATAAATAATTTCTCTTCTTAATATTTTGTCATCCAAAAATAAATATCCATTTTTTTTGTAAACAAGGTTTCGAACTTGTTATTACTTTAAGAAACTTTTGAGATAATGGCGAACTTATCGAATTTGGCAAGTATATAAATTGTCCTTTATTAAAATAATACTACGGCGCTTGGTTCAGAGTCAACATTTCTTAAATTTTTCATTAAATAACAAAAAAAAAATTTGTTAATAAATTCTATAGTTGGCCAAAATAACAGAGTCCAAATGGACGAAACTTTTTGCTCTTGCATCCATAGCACAATTGCTTGCCGTAATTATATTAGAAAGTCGAGTACTTAGAAGAAATATGGATTTGAAAGAAATAATTATTAAAAAAGAAACAGAACTTGATTGTGATCTTAGGCCATCAGTAGATCGTATGTCGCTTATCATACAAGAAAATATTATTTTCATGATATTCCAATTGTTCCAGCTTTGTTTTTGTCTTAATTCGGTAAATTTATTTTTTTTTTTGGTTCAAGTAAAATTTTTAAAAATTCATAATCCTAACTGACAAATTATTTTAGCTAATCAATCAAAATACAATTCAAATCATTGCTATTACTGTTATAAATTTTCTCTGTGGATTCTATGGCATTGTAAATTTTTTTTCAATTTTTATTTTTACTTTTTAAAAAAAAACAAAAAAAAAGGTTAAAAAAATTTTATTATATTTAGGTTCAAATATTTGAAATAATAAAATGGAAAGGAGATTTGAGCAAGATATGTCCACCTTTTCCAACTGATCAAATTCAAAGACAATTTGCAAACTTTGATTTACCATTAGTGATATTTTTAGTTGGATTCGCATTAATTATGGCTTGCATAAGTTTAAAATTATATCAACAATTTGGATGGAATATTTATAAAAAAATTGGTGCAGATATCAAAGTTCAAAGAATATATAAAGCTACCCTTATCTTTGTTATGTTATTAAAGCTGGATTTATTCTTTGTGTTCCTCTTGTCGATCGAAGTTTTCTTTCTTTTTAGTGAAAAAATTGAGAATAAAGAAATGAAAAAACTTGAATTTACTTTTACACTTCCCAAAATTGTTTATTATTTTCACATGGTTGTAACGATCATGATTTTTTTCTTGGAAATTCTTGCTTATCGATCCGTAAGTGTTTTTTTTTTGTCCTTCTTTTATATATATTTTTATTTAACCCATTATTAACGCGCTTTTGTAATCTTAGTTACGAAAAGAGTGGAGGGAAGGCATGTTCACTTATATCTTATTGTCAACAGTTACTATTGTCGATTTTGTCGTTATTTTACGATCCGCGACAAGTACAGTTAACAATAGCTGGTATTTCTTTATTGTTTTCCGTAAGTAATTAGTAACTTTAGAATATTTGAATGGTTTTTCGCTAGTAATATAATATTCATCACACGAGCATTATTTTTTCTTCTCTTATTATAGTGTCTGTTGCTATTGTGCTATGTTTGGTAAGATAAAAGAAATTATTTATTCAAACTTTGCATAAATCGAATTTACATTAACCGCGCATTTTTTTTTTAAATTAGACAACATGGATATATGCTGTACGCATATTCAGAAACTTTGGAAAAGGTTTAGAAAAAATTTGTAAGTTTAATTATATTCATATTTTTATTTTCAGAAACTTTCGCTAATAATACTTTCTATAATAGTTAATAAAAAAGAAGAGGGTCATGAAGTTCGTCAGGATCCTGAAGTCGGTGGCAGCACTCAAGGCGAAAAAAGATTTATAATCGAGGATGATTAAAAAAATAAAGATTTTTTACAATGATTATATAAGTTCTATAAATAAATATATATATACACACAGTATATACAGTAAATCATTTTTTTTTTTTTTTTTTTTAGAGAAGGTAAAAAGAATAAATGATTTTAGATAATCTTTTCTCTCCTCAACAAAGTATTTCTAATTTTTATCATTTCATTTTCAATTTTGTTTTCAATTTTGTTTTTTTCTTTTTAAAAAAAAAAAAAAAAAAAAAAAAATAGAAATTTACAACTATCTTAATAAATATTAATTTAAATATAAAAAGTTTTTCGCACGAATTACGTGAGATTAGTATGTCTGTCCAAAGATAAAAGTTATGGACGTAATTGCAACAAAATGAACATGCAATGAGTTTATTATTTCCAAAAATTTTTAATTACTCGGTCGAGAGTAAAAATAACCAAAAGTATTTTCCCTCATTGTCTGGAATTTGATATCTGAAAAAAACAAAAACTCGTAAATTGCCATTCAAAATATTAAAAGCAAATGAATACCCTTAACATTGTGCAGAAATTCGTGTTACTATATAATATAAATTTTGCCACTACTATATGTTAAACTGATATCGCACTGAATGACATATTTGATCTTTTTTTCGTTTTTTTAATTTTTTTTTTTAATTTTTTTTACAAAAAGTTGAAGTATTTTATTTCAACTTTTATAAACACGATATCTAAACAAGCAACATTATTAATGTTCACTCTTAAGGCTTTTTACTATAATACCGCGGTAGAAAACTGGACGTGCGCACGCTTTATGGAACATTATCGTTTAAACTCGGAACAAAAAGATAGAAAAAAAGCTCTGGACCGTATAAATAAAGATCTTAAAGAGGTGGAAGAATCTGATTCATTTGACATAAGGAAAAAAAGAAAAGCTCGAGAAATTCTTGACAACTGGAAAGTATGCATTAATGAGACAATCCAACAGTATTAAACTGCTTATTCTGTGCTTGAATAAGTTAAGAACTTAGTCCAACAGTAATGAACTGCTCGTTCGACGCTTGGCGCAAGTTGGGACTGCTCGTCTCCAGTGATGAACTGCTCGTTCGCCGCCTAGTGCAAGCTGGGACTGCTCGTCTGAAGGATAGTTCCTAGTTTGATGCTATATTGTTATTGTTATTTTCATTGCTACTGGAAATACTTCTTATAAGTATTAATTATGAACTTTATTTTTTCAAGAATTGGACTGACACACAAAAGAATATGAAGCGTTCCCAGTCATGTGAAAATCGGACGTCTACAAGTTAGTATCTAGTGTGAAAATTTTACAAGGCAAAAAGGATTACAAATAGTGTTTTGTCAGGTTAAGAAGATGAAAACTTTTGCAACTGCATCCGGAGGTGCAACCCATATTGTTGAAAGTAGTAATATAGCGTTTAGAAGACATCAAGAAATAACAAGTACTGAAGGGACTTTATCTTAGGAAGGAGAACCTTCTTCGGACTTAGGAAAAAAAAAATCGATTATAAACATCTTCCTCTGATTTAGAGTATTAAGAGAAACAAGAGAAATTTAAGAAGGTAACTTATATCAGTGTATTTTGATTACTTAAAAATTATTCTTGAAAGTTATCTTTTTATTTTAGATTGTAAAAATCAAAATGAATAAAAAAATAAAAATAAAAGTTCTAGCTCTCCAACCAAAAGTTCCAATAGTAGTAGTATTTAACCAAGTAGTCAACAACAAATACTGGATTTGATGACAGATAGTGATGAAGTCGAATAAATATAAATATCAGAAGAGAATTTTAATAAGTTTATAAAGGTAGGTATTATCTGGAAAGGTTATCGAAAATGAGTTTAGAATGAGATGTAGTTATAAACAGTAAATACAGGTTGTTTTTAAGCCATTAATATGTCAAAAGTCTTTATCATTCTTTTATAATTGATTCATATAATGGAAGTTTTATCGAAAAAATGTTTCTATTCCATCTGAAATCAAAAAAATTTATATGCTGAAGCCGTGATCCTTGACTGCACCTTATTTAGTCATGTGATCAAAAATGATTAACAAAGTTGACGAAGTGGATAAAGCAGACCAATATGATAAAGTGATCATCATTGATAGAACAATTTCATATTTGTCATCAATAGGATCAATATATTTCTCCTATTCTATTTACTTATCATATAAGCAAATAATCAACCACAAAATTGAACCTTTTCATTTAGTTTATAGATGAAATGCAACGTTACCTATTGATAATTCTGATGATCCTAATAACCTTTATACCAACCAAAATTTTACCTTACAAGAAAGAATTAATCATCTGATTAACAAATTACTCCTGATATAGATATAAAAATATGAATATAACTTGCATAAGAATAATAAAAGAAGTATTATGACAAAAACACAAGGATTTCTGTTTTACATAAAATTAGAGATAAGGTTTTGTACTTTGAAGATACAAAAGATAAAACCCATTCTGAAAAATTAGATCAAAAATAAAAAGGATTGTATTATATCTATCAAGTCTTATTAAATAGTTCTTATAAAATAAGAGAACTAGATAGGCATATACCGTGCATGACAAAAGTTTCTGGAATTAAAATTTGATGTAAAAAATCACGATTTTCTCTTGCAATATGTAATCTATTAAATAACATTTTCACATGACATCATTGCATTAGCTATTTTTAGATATTATGTAATGGGAAGGTACTGGTCTTTCAACAGGACAATGATCCTAAAAACACAGCCAAGAAAACTAAAAAACTTCTTTTTAAACAATGTCTAAGGTTGTTGGATTAGCGATCAAATAGCCCAGATTTAAATCTGAATGAGAATTTGTAGTCAATTTTGAAAGGGACATTGAAAAAAAATCAATAATCTTGTAATTAATAAAAAATCAAATTACTATAGATGTTTTTATAAGTTTGAGAGGGAACCAAGCTCAAAATTCTTCTTAATTTAGTTCGTAATATGCCAAAACAATTAGAATAAATAATTAAAGGAATAGTAATAAGCTAAGCTATTAACTTAGTTTAATATTTTTTTTTGTTATATAATAAAATATATAATTTTAAATTTTAAGTAGTTTTTGAAGTACAATAAATAAAAACATAAATCTGAATACCTTTGTCATGCATTATACTTCATATTTCAGTAATAGAAATCTTTTAAAAATATATAAAGGTTCTCATTTTTAAGATTAGATTTTCATTTTTATCTTTATTTTTATTTTATTTTATCAATTATTATAATTCTATAAAATAAAACAAATTTTTATTGAAGATTTGAATGAAATTTTACCTTTGAAAGTAATTTCTTCTTTTCCTTTATATTTAACTAGATTAGACTTATAGAAGAAATTTTAGACAACTTATCAAATATTATTAAGAGTTATTCAAATAAAAGACTAAACTCTTATCTTAGTCAATGCTTATTATTGGGAAAACTTTTAAAAATAGAAACTTCTTCACTGACATAGTAAAGTCAATTGAGAGAACTAGCTATTAAATATTATAGTTCTGTTTTCATTCGTGTATATTATCTTTATGAAATGCTAAGTGTAGATTAAATTTAATGATCAAAACATATCATTAAGAAAAATTTATACACTTCTAAGTCAATCTTACTAGTTTTAGTAAATGAAACTATAGATATTTAGACAAAAGCTTAAAATTTAGAAGAAAAGAAATAAAACTATGATTTTTAATTATGCTTTATTTAGTCATATGAAACCTTTGCAATAGAAAAGGAGAAAACGACCAGAAAAATCAATTTTACTTTTATATGCCAAATGTGATTTTTAGGTCAAAATATGTTCAAAATTAGCATTAACTCATTTTTTATTTTTCTGGCCGTTTCCTCTTTTCTATTGCAAAGGTCCCATATAATCAAAAATGATTAATAAAGTTGATAAAGTGAATAAAGTAGACTAATATGATAAAGTGATCATTATTAAAGCTTTAAATAGTTTAGATTAATCTGAAAATTTTCAGTTTAAATCAACTTTGGTTCAGTTTCAAATTGCAAAAAATTCAATCCAAAAATTTTTATTTTAGTTCAGATTTTTTTCGAATTATAAATCTAATCTGAATCAAAAAAATCTGAACTGAACTAAAAATTTTGAATTAATTTAAAATTTCAGATGGTTTATTCTTTTGAAATGATAATTTTAATCATTTTAAATTAACGATATTCTTATTATTTATTTAGAATGATAATTTCAATCATTCCAAATGAACAATTTTTTTATCATTTATTTGAAATGATAATTTTAATCATTTCAAATAAACAATTTTTTATCTTCCATTTAAAATGATAATTTCAATTATTTCAAATTAACGATTTTCTTATCATCTGTTTAAAATGATAATTTTAATTATTCTAAATGAATAATTTTCTTATCGTCCATTTAGAAAGATTAAATTATCATTCTAAAAGAATAATAAAAATTATTATTAAATAATAAAAAATTGTATTGCGAAAAGTTGTAAAATGTAAAATTGTCAAATGAATATTTTGACTATTTTCTTCAAGTAAAATATTCATACTAATTATTTTCTCTTTGACTTTATAATTAATCTTAACTAACTTTACCACTTATTTAAACTTATCAAATTTTGTTATATAATTTTATTACTTGGTTTTGATAACTCTGTCACTTAGCTTTATAAGTCAATTTTATAACATAACTTTGCTAGCTTTGCTACTTAACTTTTTATTACTTGATCCTATCAAATTTTCCATATAAATTTACTACTTAACTTTGATACCTTAGTTACTTAGCTTTATAAATTAATATTATAACATAATTTTGTTTGCTTAACCACTTAGCTTTTTCTATTTGATCCTATTAAATTGTTATATAATTGGTTAATTGACTTTAATGACTTTGCTAATTAGCTTGTATTTATTAAAAATATCATTTATCTTTACTTTTACTTGGTCTTTTACTATTTATCTTTATCACACTTAGCTATTTAGCTTATAATTTAATTAATTATTTAGCTTTATTAGCTTTTGCCACTTGTTTTGTTACTTTATTAGCTTATTATAATATTAAAATATCATAAAAAATTATCTGACACTTTAATTTATTTTTTAATTTTTATAATTTTATTTAATAAAAATATTTTAATAAAATAGAAAATGAATCATATTCTAATAATAATGATGAATTTTTAAATGAAAAACTCATTCAAGATATAAAAAATCCTAACCAAATATCTAAAATAAGATATTTAATTATGAGAATAAAAAAAAGAGATTTATAATTTATAGTAATTATACTCTAAATAAAGAAAGCAACAAATATCATTATAATCATTATAGGTAAAATTTAAATTTTTAGTAATAAAAATAATTAAAATATTAAAAAAATTAATTAAATTTTTTTTTTAAATGTAATTTATAAAATTTTTAAAGATGGATCAACTTCAATATTAAGAACTCATCTTAAAAAGAAATATACATATTTATTTTCAAAAGTTAAAAACTAACAGATAAATATATTATATAAAAGATTCCTTAGTATGTATATTATTTAAAAATGATTCTCATAATTATTTTTAAATTTCAATTGAGTTGCAACTTATTGTGCTATAAGAAAATAAGAAAAGATATGGGCTTTTCATAAAGTTTTTAGTTCTATTTTATATAATGAATATGAATTTTATTTATTATCCAAAAAATATTTTTTAACTTTAGCAGAATTAAAAAAATTGAAAGATATTTATGTAATCATATACGATATTAATATAAGAACTATTGAAGTAATATTAAAATAAAAGATTATAATTAATTAAGGATTTTATATTTAATTTATTTTTGAATTAATTTAGAATATTTCTTCAAATGCTATAAAATATGAGAAGTTAAAAACTAAAGATAATCATATTATAAATTCTAAATAGATATCAAAAAATAAAATAAAAAGTAAAAACAATTATTCTGTATTTGTAAGTATTATATTTTATTTATTAATTTGATTATATTTATTAAAAAATATTAAATTATTTAATTTATTTTATTTTAGATTAACATTACAGTTGATAAAAACGCTTATCATATAATACAAGTAGAAATTTTATACAAGAAGAAATATATAGTAAAGTAGAATATTTTGTTTTATATGAACAAAATGAATCAACTCGAATATTTGCTTATGTTCATAAAATTGATGATTTATAATATGATAATTATGAACAGTTATATTTTAATAAATTTAATGGTTTTTAATTTATTGAAGTTATTGGAATAGATCATTGTATAAGATTTTTAAAATGAAGAATAATCCTAGATACAAATTTTATATTTTAGATAGAGAGAAAATTTAATAAATTATTATTATTATTTATTATTTATTTATTTTGATAAGTATTATTATAATGATTTTTTTTAAAAATGCGATTTTATTTAAGATTAATAATATTATATCATATAACAATATTAGTAAATACATGTGAATCTTCTGCATTTAAATTAATGCATTCAACATTTTATTATTTTTATAATTTCTTTTTTATAATAAAAATAAAAATAAAATAAAAAATAAATTATAATCTTAAAAAATAAAATTCAATTATTAAATTGCATTTGATTTTCTTTTTTTTTTCTTTTATTCATTATTCTTAAAAGAATTTGTATTTTTTATATTTACAAAGGTCTCTGAAAATAAATTATTATGTGTAAAAAATACTAACGAATGCCTAACACTAAAATATAGAAGATTATCATGTATAAGTAAAT